GTTATTTGACTTATTTTCACGCGAAGAGTACATATTTGAGGTTCATTTGTTCATAAAAATTTATTATTTATTTATATATATATTTAAAAAAAATAAACCTCAATTATATAGACCATAATTGACGACCTAATTAGTATATTAATGATTAATTTATATACGGGTTGTTACATTTCTCATTTGTTTAAATAATGTAAACTGTAATTATATTTCTGCCGTGGATTTATTCATGGTTGATAGGGGTTGTAGTGTTATGTCTCTATGGGTGAGGCGACTGATAACTTGTTTTCATTGCTTTTAAATTCTATTGACCATTCAACTTTTCCTTTGTTAAGATGTTTCAAAATGTTTGATCCAGGGGTTTCTAAATGTTTGATCTAAGGTTTCTCCTTTTGCAAACCGATTGTCATTTGATGCTCCACTCCACCAGTGGTTCAACGGCTAAGATGCATGGCAAATTATAAGGTTTTACGTTTTTCAAGCCCCCTTTTAACATTGGGTGAAACTTTGGTAGCAAGAATGAAAGAACGAAGTGCTAATAATAGTCGCAAGTACATTTCTGTGCACCTTCGCTTTGAGGAGGTTAGTGTCCAAGAAATTGGAAGAGCTGAATTTAATTGTACTTCATTTTCTTAACATCTATTATATTCACAAGAATTGTTAGGAGAGGTTGATCATCTTCTCATGCAGGATATGGTTGCTTTTTCTTGTTGTATATATGATGGTGGCAAGAAAGATAAACGTGACATGGATGCTGCAAGGGAGAGAGAGGTTGGAAGGGGAAATTTACGAAACCTGGTAGAGTTATTCGTCCTGGAGCTATCAGAATCAATGGAAAAATGTCCTTTAACCCCTTTAGAGGTGTATTTATTGCCATGGTACCTTTCATTTGATTCTTTTTACTTTTATCAATCCTGGTATTACACGGTCATGTATTCACTTATGATTTATTGTTTTATCACCTTCTTTGTGATTCGGCTAAATTACTGTCTCACTGTCAGTTTGTTGATATGCATACCTGCTCTTTGTGTACGATTAGTTAGATGATGCACAAACACTTTTCTCTCTTTGATTACATTTGCCTCGAGACTTTTGGTTATGCTAAATCATGTGCCTTTATGCTGATTATAAACATATGCTGTATGTGTTATCATAAATTTTAACTCACTGGGTCACTCATTAATGATGATAAATCTAAATGTTTTGGGACATAAAAAATTGGGAAAACTGCAGTGACACCCCTCATGGTTTTTGAATTATGATGCTCTCCCATCAAGATTCCTGATGGAACTAATGGAGTCATTGAATTTCCAATTTGATGCTCATTCATTCCATCGAATTTTCAATGTTGAACGTCAATTCTTTGTGTGCAAGGCTTGTAGCAAACACACAATCAGATTATCTGCTCCGTGCTCTGATCAGTGAGGCTCATCTCAGCCCCTTCCCCGCCCTCCACATCACCAACCTTGAACCCTAACTATGATCAATTCCAACCTCTCTTTTGGAACCCCAAATCACGATCATTCTCAACCTTTCTGAGCTCATCTCAGCTCCCCTCCCAGAAATCACATGTTTATTACATCGATAACAATCGATTAAGTGACAGATTGTTGAGTAACTTTCAGATCCGGGGTCCTATAGTAAAATTAATTGAATGTGTTAGTGTGTTAATGCAAATTCAAGTGGCGCTTCTTGGATAAAACAACAATTTTTTTTTTTTTTGATTTACTGCAAGTGTAGGTAGATGTTTGTAAGATTTTTTTTGGCCCCCCCAAAAAAAAAGTTGAAATAAATGAAGAAAAATACTACAATGGTGACTGGATAAATTGCTTTGAAAATATCCAAATGTTGGTACAAAAGGATAACTATGGATGGTTTTAAATTGCAATACGAAAGGAAAAGCAAAAATTGGAGAGGTTGTGAAGAAGTGGAAACCAAATACTTTATGTTGGTGTAAATTTTCTGTGGCTATTCTTTGGCTACGCCAATTGCTATGATTGAAACATGAACTGATATAATATATTCCCAAACAGCCTTTGTAAGATATGATGAGACTAGCTTCACATTTCTATTACTTGTTTCTGCAAGTAGTGTTGAATGAAAATTGGTTTGAACTCTTGTTTGTCCTAGTTTTTGTTGCCAATTTCCCCCCGTCCTAAATTACTAGTTAAATCTATGCTGTCTTGTTTGTCATCAGGTTGGCTTGATGCTTAGAGGAATGGGGTTTGATAAAAGCACATCCATTTATTTAGCATCTGGACAGATATACGACTCCGAGAGATATATGGCTCCACTATTTGAAATGTTTCCCCAGCTACAAACAAAAGAGATGCTGGCATCTGCTGAGGAACTAGCTCCATTTCAGGTTTTTGAATGCGTTATGGCTTTCTTTGAATTTTGCCACATTTCAGAGGGTGATTCCATATCGTGTTTGACTCAGTTTACTGTCTCTAGAATTATTCTTCCAGGATGGCTGCCATAGACTACATTATTTGTCTTCATAGCGAAGTATTTGTGACAACTCAAGGTGGAAACTTCCCTCTTTTTTTTTTGGGCCACAGAAGATATTTGTATGGTGGACACTCGAAGAAAATCAAGCCTGACAAACGGAAGTTAGCATTAATATTTGACAATCCCAATATTGGGTATGCATTCATCTCGTAGCTATGGTTTCGCTTATATTTGGTTGATCTGTAGTCTAGTTTTGACTGACTGGAGTATTCTGAAAATAGATTGGGATTTGCTACAATTAAAGCATATGTAAAAGATGGCTTTTTGAAATGGTTTCATACCTTTTATGTTTCTGACCTAAAAAAGAGAAAAGAAATGGTTTCATACCTGGCATGGACTAAACTGGCTCAAAGAACTTGTATACACTATAGACAAGCATTCAAATGCCGGTTATTTTATGGGATTTACGAGATTACAACGGACCAAAATATTTAAAAATAGATCGGCAACTGCATTTTTTGTACATGATACCAGAAGAGAACACGAAGAAGATTTGCCCACTTCTGGAGTTTCCCGGGCATTATTTTCACATCATTGCATCTTGTCGCAGCTGCTGTATCTAAGAAGCAGTGAAATGGCATATTGCTTACTTCTACACCCTGTTGATTCTGTGTTTGTATTTTACATTCTTTCATTCAAACCGCACACGTAAGACTTTACAACCAGGATGAGCTGTATACATCTACCATAATCAGGTACTCAAATTTTTCCTTTTGGAAGTCAGCAAACTTTGTTTTTGTAGCTTGTTACCCCAAGTGTCCTTTTCTTCAGCATTTCTTTGTAGGGTATTGTGCAAATGTTTTTTTGTTTGTTGATGTTATTTCCTTGCATCAAACTGCAAGGCTATTCTTCTATTATGCGTCGCCAAATTGCTTGAAATACGAAATCTGACTCGGGAAAAAGGAGGAAGAAGCAGTCAATTCATGCATACTCCCAAAGGCATATTGGCACATACTCGAAGGTATATTGGTGCATACTTAAAGGTATATTGGCTTGCCTTGTAGAAGAACGGATAGTAAAACATCGCGAATTAGAGATTCTGTAATATACTCTTTCCCCAAACTTTTCATACTAACCAACCCACTAAAATGAAAGTAGGGATCATTCTCTGGACGGAATTGCATCTTCATTATTAGTCTGCAGTTCTATGCCATTTCCACATTTTGACTTGGTTTTTGGTCTTCACAGATTGTTTATTTTACATTGGACTGTACTTTAATTGCTCAAACTAAGAAGGGGAATTCTATGGTATCAAAACAAATTTTTTGGTATTGATACCGACTTACTATTTTGAAAGGTTAAGTTATAATTGGTTAAGGGAAATCATGATTGATCATAAAAAATACGGTATAAATTTCAATATTTTATGATTGATCACGTTCTTTGAAGTTGTGCGTGCAAATTTTGCACAATATATATGAGAACATATTTCTCTCGTGGCGAATACGATTCCGTCGAGGCGACAGTCGATCGCACCACCTGGAATAGGTTGAGAGGGCCAAAGGGGCTTAAGAAGTGATGATGAATTGTTTGTTGGGTCGCTTGACCAGTCTTAGAAGGTTACTGGGGGTTCCTGGAATACAGAAAAACGGGTTAGAAGAGCGCCGGAGTGTTTTTTGGTGTATCCCCTCCAACGATCATGTCAGTTGCTGTGAGAGTGGGGAAGAAGAAAATATTGTATGACTCTTGAGAGATGATCTTGCGTACCTTTGCAATGTGTTTTTTAGGACTATTTATACCTTCAAAGGTTCATCATTGTTAACAGTCTAGTTAGTAGCTATTTATGAGAGATGGGGCAATGTGCCCCTCACTTTTGTGGGGAATGTACTTCGTTTTAACTGCTCGGGCCGCCAAGCATGTAATGCCCTCCCCTCGGTCCGGTGAACATTCAATCTCTTCCTCTTGGTGGGGATGCATTAAATGTCCAGGTATGAGAGTCTTTAATGACTTTCACTTTTTTGGCTCTCATGCCTTAATCACTATCTCATCAGGAAGATGATTCATTAAATGCTTACTTGCTCTAGTCATAAGCAGGGGTATTCAGATTTTTTTGCTTCTGATTTGACATCGCATGCCACGCGTCTACTCCTCTTTAGTTGAATGTTTTGCATTCCTATGCCTCTTAACACCATTGAGCAGGGTGCTTTTATGATGGCTAGCCTAGCCTAGGCTAGGCTAGTCAGCTGTCAATCCTTTAGCTTTTATAGAAGTAGAGGAGTGAAGTCCGTCTTTTAGCAGACACACCTCGGTGCCGAGGGATATTACATACCTCGGGACGGAGGGTATTTTGCTGAGCCAATGGAATTCTGTCAGTCACGCCGCCTGGAATTCCCTCGGCCCCAAGTATTATCCCCTCGACAGAAGGGGATGAATGATGCCGAGGACACGTGGCTATATCACAGCAAGGGAGTATAATGACGCCGATGACACATATTGCCGATCTGATTCCTCCCAAAAATGTTCCATCAGAAATTATAATTTACACCTCTAAAAAGTTGTAAATTAATCTTAAAAAATTTTAACTTTTGATATTGGTATTACTGACGGTACTATAGAAGTTCCCAACTAAGAAAGGTTGCTGTACTAAGTTAGAGGTACTAGAGGTTATACACTACTAAAGATGCTATGTAATTAATCTCCCAAAGTTTTCAACTGGTGCCTTGCCCTGCTTGAAGAAAAATGGACGGGATTACTAATCTGTTGAAAACTTTGAATCCTATGTAAGTAGACGTTATGCTTTGAATCCTATTACTTGCCACCGAACTAGAGAAAATAATCTGTTGAACTTGTCGATTGGTTAATATTTGAGGACCTTTTTTTTTTCTAGGCGCCTTAAAAAAAATATAAATTTATATTTGATACCTTTAAAGATTAATTTTTTTTATTATACTCTCAATGTATAAAAATTATTTTAATATGACCCTTCAGTTAATTTTTGTTACTCATTCTGTCAACATCAATGGGTGGGTTTTAACAGAATAAGCATCAGAAGTTAATAGAATAATTACATTGTAACATTTTGTATACATTGAAGGTGCAATAAAGAGAAATTTAATTTTTTAAGGGTATAAAGTGAAAAATTTTAAATCTGTTGAGGTCCAAAATGAGATCCCCTTTTTTGGGTCAAAATGTGCGGTTCCTGTGCATGTTTTATGGAATAGGGAGTGCATTATTCAACCTCATAGATTGCGCATCAGCTAATTTTTTTTTAATTGTTTTTTTATTTGTTTGAAACCTTTATTCATCCATGTTTGGTGTTCAGATTGCCCATGGTGATGACTGGTTGCACAAATGGTACTTTTATCCAATCAGTACTCTATTTAATTTGCTCAGGTTTTTTATTTTTACTTTTCCCCCCGGTTTATGAGTCGTTTATTGATTTGTTGGGTGGTGGTGGGCAGTGATAGTCGGTGGTGATAGGTGGTAGGGGCAGTGGTGGTGGCGTTGGAGTGGCGATGGACGGTGGTAGTGTCGGATGGTGGTGGGGTGGCAATGGACGGTGGTGGCAGTGGGATGATGATGATAGTGATAAAAAATATAAAAATAAAAAGTCATAAGTCCTAAAAATATTTTCAAAAATTCATCTCAATCGCTTCCTTAATTAAGTAATGTCTTTAATTAAAGAATATTTTTGCTAAGTTCTAATTTTATAGAATTTTAGCATTAATAGTGTTTAGAATGAACCTAAAGCCCAAAAAATTCAGGCTTTCTGAACTGTTTTTGCAAAAAAAAAAAAAAAATCGTATTTCTGTTTGTTCCTATTATCATATAATTTAAAGTCTATTTGTTTTAACGAGAAAATGGTAGAAAATACAAGAAAATAAAATTTTTTAATTTTTTTATGTGTTTAGTTAGCATGAAACGAGAAATGATGGAATTTTTTTTTTTACATAGATTTTATCACAACTAACCATTTTTTTTTTTTTTACAAAAAATATGAGAAAAAGTAAGAAAGTTGTTATCAATAGCCTAATATCACATTTCACCCTTATTTTTTTAAAAGTATTTAATTAATTATTAATTAAAAAAAAATTTGATATAAATTTGATTACCATATAATTTAGTCTAAAGTTCTGGATTCCCGTTGATCAGTAATTCAGTATAAAAAAATAAAGAAAAGAAAAAAAGGCTGACGAAGTCCCCTGGTATATAACCAGCAGAAGCTGGAAACCTTCGAGCCAGACCTTGGTAGAAAAATCAACCGACTAAAACAAAAATGGCAGCAGTCGGAGCTTACCTCAATCACGTTTCCCGTGAATCTTCAGACATTAAACGCCTCGCCAAATTTTACCAGGAGGTAGAAAATCACTCCCAAGTCTTTTGATTTCTCTCTGTTTTTGTTGTAGAATTAGATTAGTTTTGTTGATGGGAGTTGAATTGATATTTGATTTAGTGAGTTGTGTAGACATTGGGTTTGGGCAAATTGATAGTCCTAAGTTTGAGTTTGAGGTGATATGGTTGAAATTGGGTCCATCTTTCTATCTCTATCTGATTGAGAGAGAGAGAGAGAGAGAGAGAGAGAGAGACCCAGGAACCAAAATTCACTTCCAAGCCGTTTCATTTCTCTCTGTTTGTTATAGAATTTTATAATTGTCACTGATTGGCGTGGAATTGATATTTGCTTTAGTGGGTAGTGTAGACATTTGGGTTGATTTGGTTGAAATTGTGTCCATCTTTCTATCTCCACCTGATTGGGAGAGACCCAGGAACCAAAATTCACTTCCAAGTCGTACGATTTCTCTTGTTTGTTAGATAATTATATAATTTTCACCGATTGGCATGGAGTTGATATTTGCGTTGGTGGGTTGTTTAGATATTTGGATTTGAGCAAGTCGAGAGTCCTAAGTTGGCGTTTGATGTGATTTGGTTGAAATTGGGTCCATCTTTTTATCTTCACCTGATTGAAAGAGACCCAGAGACCAAGCTTCCAGAAGGTCCATGGAGTGCCTCTTCGGCCGTGGCTGACCCCAAGGATCTTCCTAGAGGTCATCACATCTGTTTCTCTGTCTCCAATTTCGACTCTTTTGTTCAGACACTTCAGGTATCTCCTTTTTTCTGTCTGATTAGATACACATAAACAAGCACACAGATATACCTGGACAATACTTTTAGGGTGATTTGTTGGTTGTGGTTAAATTCTTTTATGCAGCCATAAGGATGTTAATTTGGGTAAATAGGGTTTTATGATTCATGAGCCTGTTTACTGTATAACTCATCTAGAATCTGTTTTTGAAAGTTGGAAACAAAAAAAAAAAAAAAAAAAGAAAAACCTACATGATGTAATCAATGGGAACTCTTCTTTCTCAAGTTCTAAATTTTCAGGATAGTGTTTTGGTTAAATCTCGAAGTGGTGTCTATGAACTTGATTTTGCAACCATTAGAATAACTAACACTCCAATGTAATTTGGTCAGATATTGTTTTGATTTTCCTAGGGTTACTGTTTTGGGTAGAGGTGGTGGGAATTTTTTATTTTTGTTTTGGGGGGTACGGGTGAACTGATGGGGGAACCTTTTTGAAAAATACTTTTAAGTGGAGAGACATTTCCTGTGATGGTGATTTTCTTATGGTAATTAATTTATCAACTGTTTCCAGAATTCACTGATATATATGATCAAGCATTTCAGCTTATTTCAACGAACTCTGGTTATGTTGCAGAGAACCTAATGCAGTGCTATGCTATGCAGGAGAAGGGAATTAATGCACATGAGACGACGCAACCAGATGGGAAGACCAAGCAAGTATTCTTTTTTGATCCAGTTGGTGAGCGCTCACATCTCTATTTATTTCTGATTGTATTTTACCAGGGCAAAAATTTTTTTTGGAGGTAATAAAGTGAAGCACTGTTTCATTCTTTATGTGCCTGTTGGAAGCTTCTTTTATACCAGTACCTTCATATACAATTAATATTCAATGTTTCTAGTTTTAATTTTAATGGCATTTTCCCTGAACAAGTCACTAATTAAGTTGTGGTTTTGCAAAATGTCACCCAAAGCAATGCTGTCATGTGCAGGTAATGGATTAGAGGTTGCTGGCAGTGCTTCGGAACAGTGAAGCAGTAAATCAGGTGGTCTTCTATAAACAAGGGTGGATAATTACCTTTAATTAAATGGTGTATTAAGCAAGGGAAGATAATTACCTGTAGTTAAATGGTATTAAGCGAGATTGAATAATTACCTATATATAGTTAGAAAGTGTATAACAACCACCTAGAGACTTATGAGATGGGAATGCTATGCAAACATTTTCATGGTAACAGCTATATGTGTTTTTTCTGCATTTATGTTGTTCTTCAATGAGTGGTGTTATATGGTTGTGTTTAGAAAATTGGAATTTAGATTCTTTGAATTTTTGGTTGTGTTCTGAGATTTTTAACTTAACAAGTTGAACTATAGGTTATACTTGCTAATGGTTCTAAAAGATAGGTTGTCTCTCAACTCATGATGGCAGGGTGTGAAGTGGCTTCTAAGTTTGGGTTTTTATCCCATGGCACGTGCTCTGCAATGAGATGGGGCAGAGGTTGAGTGTTCGGCTTGGAGTCCAGCCCTTGACATTGTACGGGTAATGGTGAGGTCAAGTTTATTGCATTTGCAATGGTGATATATGTTTTTCATGTAAAATTTCATGCGTCACACACTAGTTATAGTATTCCTATTTACTAGCTTGGAGAATTCAAGTTTTAAGAACTCAATGCCAAGGGTGGTTGAAGTGCAGTGAGTGCAACAGAACGGAGCAAAAATTGGTAAAAATAGTTTGTTTGAGGGAAGAATAGGTTTTTTTTTGGGGTTGGGGGGGTTTGATAAGGGCAACTTGGGGATTTTTTTATGCACAAGGGTATATTAGGTATTTTCAATGTACAAGTATTAGGGTTTGGGTGTCGGTATATATATGATCCTATTATAATTATGATATAGTACAAAATAATGATCAAATTTTTACCAAATTATATAAATTGAAATATTATCTATTTAAAGTAATTTTCTTTTCTCGTTAATTATTGACTATTTTTGGGTCTCTTAAAAAGTGGTATTAAAATCGATAGCTGACGATCCTAGATGAACTCTTGAAGAAGTGATATAGCGTGTGACATCAATGATGACTCTTAAGAAAAGTAATGAGCTCAGGCCTAGAAAAAGAGCAGAGGGTGGGCAAGAGCGCAAGGCTCTTGGTAAAGTGATAATATGGTGACTCATAAAGAGCGGTAAAAAACTTGATTCTTGAAGAGAGTGGTGGACTAGAATCAAGGGGAAGTTAAGCTCAATGTGGTTTACACATGAGAAGGAGATTGTTAGATATTACATTTGTGAGAATTTTACATCGGATAGAAAAATAAACTAAAGTGTCATAATATACTATTGATGAGCTCATCACCTTTATGATTAAGCTTAGGTGGGTATAGGTTCTAGACATGTATATTGGATCTTACATCGTTGAGCTCCCTAGTCTCCCAAAACTGGTATTAGAGTTGATAACCGGCGATCCTGGATGAACTCTCGAAGAAGCGGTGTAGTGTGTTGGTATGAGTGGTAATGTGGTGACCAGTGTTATTTAAGGCGTTAAGCGAACCGAAGCGACCAAGGCTCTTAACGCCTAGGCGAGAAGCGAGAAGCGAGAAGCGAAGCGAAACGATTTACCAAAGCGAAGCGAGCAGTTAAAAAAATAAATAAATATTTTAGTGTAATTACTTTTACACATCAAAGTTTTAATTTTATATATACTAAATATTTAAATACAAGTAAAACCATAAACATTTAAAGTAAAACCATAAAAATTTAAATTAAAATAAACACTAATAATATTGCAAATCTTAATAACAGTCATAGTTTAAACATTTAAATTCATACAAATACTAATAATATCCCAAATCCTAATATTTAAAAACATAAGACACATAATTCAAGCAACTAAAGAAAATATCTCAAGGACTTAGAAATCAATCCTCATCACTAAAGAAATCATCTTCTTCATTATCCTTAGATTCATATCCCTCAGTATCCTCCTCCTCTGCCTCATCTGAAATTATGTCTTCCTCATCTGTGAGTCCAGTCGTCGATCTTGTAAACCTTGGTGTTACCCTAGTAGATGGTATTGATCTAGTCCGTTGGCTACTTTCCGTAACTGCAGAAGCTCGAGCGACTTCGCCCCAAGTCAAAGTATCATCACCAAACACAAGCTCATTATCTTCATCTGTGTCTGCATCCATTCTCCCAATCAACCACTCATTGCTATCATCAATATCCTTCAAAGATATTGGATCAATTGTGTCACGAGAATCATATAGTGCTGGAAGTTCACATATATCTGTGTGAATAATATTTCAAGCAATGCATGGTGACTATCTCATTATTGAAGAGACAGGAAGACTACGACCGAATATTACAACTTTTTATGATTAAGTTATAATTTTTTGGGTGTAAATTACGACTGTAAAAGACATAATCGATGTCAAAATATTATGATCAATCACAAAAGTTACGTCTTTTAGAAGTATTAATGACCGATCACAACATTTCATGATCGATCGTGATTAACTCCATTCAGTTGCAACTTCACTTTTAAAAGTTATAATTTGACCTATGAAAATAACTTCTGATTTAAAAAAAAATTCCAGTGCCACAGAGCTATCCATTGAAGAGAGGTGTTACCAACCAAATAGCTGCATTACAATAAGTCTTGTTTATCTAGCAACAATAACAAAACTAGGTACATATCGGTATGTAACATACGGACAACTACGAATAATAGCATTCCAGCAACTCCTTAGAATGGAGTTTCGACAGCAACATAAGGAAAAAGCAAAAAAAAAAAAAAAAAACAGACGCATAATGAAAAAAAAAAAGAAGCACAATCGGAGCAAAATAGGGTAGAATCAGAGCAGGATGGGGTAGAATCAGATCAAGAAAAAAAAAAAAAAAAAAAAAAAAAAAAACCAGAATCGGTGAAGGAGCAGAACACAGAAGAAAAAAAAATTGAAGAGAGAAGAAGAAGAGACTAACCTCCACAGACCAGCCCTCCAAACCCTCAGTCCAGCAACAACAATGGTGTACAAGTAGCGAAAACTCGAAGCCTTGGAGTGTAGCACTGGAGAACAGTACCGATCGTGTAGCAGTGGAGAGCAACACCAAATCCGTCGTGTAGCAGTGGAGAGGAGCACCGATCGATCGTGTAGCAGTGGAGAGCAGCACTGATCGAAGCAGCAGCGATTGAAGCAGGGGAGAGCAGCACCGATCGATCGTGTAGCAGGCAGCACCGATCGATCGTGTAGCAGGCAGCACCGACTGAAGGTATCTGTAAAAAATTTAACAAAATTAGGTTAGGAGTTTTATTTATAGGATAAGGGAATAATTCGGTACATTAACATCTTAAAATTTTTTTGCAATCGCCCAATCCTACGGTCTAAATTAAAAATTCGCCTCGCATAACAAAAGCGATCGCTTCTTCGCTTTTTTCGCTTCTTCGCTTTTTCGCTTTTCCTCGCTTTTTTCTCGCCTCGCTCAGGTTCGCTTCGCCTGGGTTCCTCCAGGCGAGCAAGTCTCGCCTCGCTTCTCGCCTAGGCGAGCGCCTAGGCGCGCTTTTCATAACACTGGTGGTGACTAATGAAGAGTAATAAAAACTTGGTACTTGATTTTTGGAAAAGCAGACTCTTGTGAAGAGTGGTTGGATGAGGTGCTCATAGAGAGTGGTGGATTAAACTCAAAGGGGAGCTACACCCGATGTGGTTCACGAATGGAGAGATTGTTGGGTCTTAGATGTGTGAGAAATTCACATCAGATAGAAAAATAAATTAAAGTGTCCTAATAAATTATTGATGAGTTCATCACCTATATATGATTAAGCTTTAGGTGGGTATGAGTTATAGACAACATATTGGGTCTTGAATCATTAGGCTCACCAGTTCCCCAACAAATGGTATCAGAGTCGAAGGTTGATGATCCTTGATAAACTCTCTCAAAAGTGATATAGTATGCCGGTATTGATGATGACTTTTAAGAAAAGAGATGAATTCTAAGTATTAAAGTCATGGAAGTGCAACTCGAAAAAAAAGTAATGTGCAAGTCTAGGCGCAATGGCTCTTAGATAGTGGTAATGCAATGAAGAAAAAATAAGTAAGAGTATCTTAATATACAATGTATGAGCTTACCATGTAACGACTTAAACTTTTAAGTGGGTATGAGTTTCAGACATTTATATTGAGTCTTAAATCATTAGACTCTACTTGTCTCCCAACAACTGCACTCTAAATACCAAATTATATATTATTGGTTAGTTCTATAATTGGTGTAAACCCAACATTGGAGCAGAGACTCAAAAATGTACTGAACCCTCAACACATTTGAAAAAAAGGCCAGCACAAGAAGTCCCTCGTGACTATGATGACTGATGCGTTAACCTCAGAGCTTGGGTAGCCAGAACAATTGTTCTCTTCCACAGCTGCATACAGAGATACCCCACCATGCATTGTTACATATTATACATGTAGGAAAATTCTACGAAAAAATTGTTATACATCTACATGCATTGTTATATTTTTTTTTATACTATACCGTTGATTACTATTTTTTATGATAAAGTTATAACTTTAACATGGAAGTTACAATTACTAAAAGGAAGGTCACGATCGATCACAAACACCTATGATTGATTATGAACTCTTGATATCGATCTTAACTTTCTATAACCGATTATGCCCTTTAAAAGTTATAACTTCACCTCAAAAAATTGTAATTTAGCTTTAAAAAATTACAATTTTTGGTACGGTACCACCAATGGTACCATAGCCTTTCCCCAACATGTAATGCGACATATGCTAGAATTCTAGCTGGCAACTTGAGAATGTACCTTGGACTATTTGGTCCAAGGGTATTAAGGTGGACAGGATAGTGTTGATAGAGTTCCACGTAAATCGAATCGAGTTGGACATCATACTTTTCGGTAACACAAGAAACATGAACGAATGAACTCGGAATAACACAATTGTTTAAACCTAGACAAGCAATTGGATGAAGAGAAAACAATTTTTCAAATACGAAGCTGGGCTCAAGAGATTATCGGTTATTTATAATAGCGAAACCCTAATAAAACTAGGAAACAAAAATAGCCTAGAAAGTCAACAAGAAAAAAAGCTGATAAATGATAAGAGTCATTTGAAACAACATCGCGTTTGTCAAATGTGTAAGTTCTCTTCACGATTCGACTCTTTTCCTTATCCCGACCTCTCACTTTGTTTCGTTCTTTTTTATACCGTAATTGTTTATTAAAAATTCATTTCATTTCAAACTTAATTTACTTGAGTTCTGAGGTGAAAGATATCTTGAAACTTTGGACGTGCCAGCCAATTAAGGGTATGAATCGATATGACAAGATTTTGAAATTAGCACGATTAATAAATACGTATAATAAATGAATTAAATTAATATTTGGCACTTATAACACATTAGATAATTTTTTTTTCTCTTGGGTATTGACACGAATTGACACCCTTATCAAAATGAAAATTATTTAGATAGTCGGTATAAAGAGAATGTTAAAGATGACTTGAAACTTTGGAGCTGCCTGCCCCGATTGCGGGTGTCAAGTTAACCCATTAGGATGAATAAGACACAAATGTGACACGACACAATTTTAAAATTAATATGATTGATAAATATATATAATAAAAATTGGATTAACGTTTCATACCTACATCACAGTAAATAAATTTTTTTCTCGTGGGTATTAACATGAACACACACGAATTATAATGACACGACCTGAAAATAATGGTATGAAAATAACCCAAATTGACACCCGTACTACCAATATTCTCTTAAAGTAGGTATTTGTTGGAAAGTAAACTTTCTTTAAGGAGTTATTTCAATATTAAGTGATTTTTGGTGTATTAAATTCTTCAAGTCCTAGTAATGGAAGTAGTGAAGTCTTAATATTCTAGTGGTTATAAGAATTGGTGGATGTAGTAGTACTTTGTTAATCTAAGTTTAAGAGTTATTGTTTTTTTTTTTTTAATCAAGTAAGAGTTACTGTTGAAATCTATATATAGAAATACTATATAAGATGCAATTTCAGAGGTACACGTAAGAGTTCTAAAAAGAGTCTAGTTTGAGTGTCATTGAAAACGCTTTGAATGAAAATTGTGCACGGTGATTTTCGCACAATAAAAGAAAAGGACAGATCTCTCATGTTATGAACATGAGGTTTACCTGTTAGTCAAGGATCTCGAGACAAAAGGGAGTAATGAAGGCTCCTAAGGAGTGGTGATGTGTTGTCTTTCTAGCTATCCACGTGATTTCGGCGAGTTAGGAAGCAATCTGCCACTCAGAAAAGAGAACAGAGAGTTAGAAGGGCGTCGGAGTATTTTTTGGCGTAACCCCTCCGATGGTTAAGTCAGTGCTTGCGAGAAAGGGGAGAAAACACTGTTGTATCATTGAGAATATGATTTTCGTACCCTTGCTTTCGATTTTTTGTGACTATTTATACTTTCATAGAGGTCATCATTGCTGACAGGTGGGTCTCCCTAGGGAGAGGCCCCATTGGCTCATCTGGGAGGCAACAGGTGGGGGAAAACAATTTTGGGGCAGAGTGCCTCTTGTCCCCCGGGAGAGGTCAATCAGCATTAAATGCTCGGACCCCCGAGCACTTAATGCCCTTCCACCAAGGCTTTCTAGACGATAAACACGTCTCATCCTCCTGAAGGATCATTGAATGCTCTTCTGTAATGGTTGTGCGTCAGCGGGGGCATTCTTGTCCATTGGCCCCCAACTTTGTACTCTGCGCCACGCGTCCACTTCCCATTGATCACTGGTCATGTCTTTCTTGCCATTGTGACTTCTTTGAGAAAGCAAGTTTAATGATTCACTGTCTAACTCTTACTTTGATGGGCTGCAACCGTCAATAATTCGCCATGTGGTCGAGGTGACGTGTCTAAAATCAGACCTCGGGGTCTAATAACGTCGAGGACACGTGTCAAAGTCTCAGTGCTTCGGGTGTTCATACTCCAAGGACACGTGTCAAGCGTATATAGGCAGAGGATGTCAGTGCCGATGACACGTGTCATTCTTTGATTGGTGGAGGTGTCCTCGGTGCCGATGACACATGTCTTCATTACATTGTTTGATGGATTTTTGATGCCAAGGTCATGTGTCAAATTCTTGTTCTTTTTAGGAGCGTCCCATCAAAAATCATTTTAATTATTGTTGAATGAAAATCATTTTTGTTTTTGAGTGTTTGTCTCCTTTGCTATCTCAAAGTTGCATTTCAAGTCCTTTCAATTTCAACAAAATGGAGTTACTATTCTTTTCTAACCAGAGAAGCATTAGAGACCATGATGCCAAGAATTGCTTTTCCTTTCCTTATATCAGCCAATCTCCAACGTATGAACCTAAAAGCCCAAAAAATAACCCAAGTCCTCCGAAAACTTACTGCAAGTAACTCCAAGAAGTCAAGTGCTGCCAGTCGGCTACCTTATTTCCAATCCGAAGTCACCTTGGTTCGGCTACCTTATTTCCAATTAAGCTACTATAAGTCCCTATGCTTACCCACCTCTGTTAGATGAGTCTTATTTGACCAAGGATCAAACTAAGACCTAAAGTCTTAATTTACTACTATTCCGAACTCTTATTTTGTCAAAATGTATACAAGATTCACATAATAATTTTAAGAAGGCTATGGTATTAAAAAAAAAATTTGATACCGTATTTCTAATTTTTATAACAAAAAAAATTTAAAATTTATCTTATAATGATTTATCTTATTATTTATAATTTAATCTTTTGACCACAATAATTCTTTCTTTTTATATTTAATTTTTTAATATAATATTTCTTCCACAATAATTGTTCTTGTGGAAGAAAGGTTGTGATGCGAACATCCTGGACCAACCAAAGTGAGGGAATTTGTCCAAAATGCCCTTCAACACTTTCACGTGAATTGCTGTCCATGTGATTGTTTGGTTTTCAAAATGAATTTGCACGGAAGTATAGAATCGAACTATAATCGATACTTTAAGGATTATATTGTCAAAATTAAAACTATAAGGACTAAATAGGAACTTCATCAATACTTTAAGGGTATAATTTGCAATTCACCCTAAATGTTATCCATGCTGGTGCTGCAATAGATAGAATAATACAGTTTTGGTATAAACAGACAAGACGACTTTCTCTCCCTGCTCTGTAAAACAAGATACCACTTGGTTTCTCCCCTCTCCCCCCAAAACTACTCATCTTAGTTTGTTCACACTATCTCCATATGTCTCTGTCTTTGGCGCTTTGCCTTGCGTATCGTGTCTGCAACGGATTCTTTCAGGCATAAATAGTTAGTTCTCCGTCTGTGTATCATCGATAACAGGCCGAATTCATCTGATAGAACTACAGATATGGGGATTGTTGGAAATCTCAGTTCAGACCAACTCCAATTCTTCAATTCTCAGGGTAACCCTTTTTCTAGAAATCCTTAGAACTCTCTCTATCTCTCTATTTCCTGCTAAGAACCTTTGATGTTGCAGGGTATCTGGTGATAGAGTCATTTGCAAGCCCTGAAGAGATAAATAGCATGAGGAAGAGGATGGACCAGTTGCTTGATGAGTTTGATTGCTCTTCCAATGCCTCAATTTTCTCCACCAAGAACCTGGTCCAAGTTGACGCTAACCCTGTTCTGTTTAATTAGTTCATATCCAATCGAACTTGAACTCAAATTGAATTAACTGTCGCTTAATTGTTTGAAGTTGTTTCTTGTTTTGTGCAGCAAAAGTTGACTGATGACTACTTCTACGAGAGCGCCGAGAAGATTTCATTTTTCTTTGAAGGTATTGACTTCTGACCCATAGTTATCAAATCGTGTATCGGAAGGCGTATCGTAAGATACAAATATTGTATCGTATCGTGTATCGTATCGTGTATCGTAAGATACGATGCAATTTTAAATAAATAATAAAAAAATATATATACCTTTGAAAAAAAGTCATACACTCATAAAAAATATAGCATTTCATTAATACTCCACCAACTATTCAAGTTATCAACATAATCCACTACTATTATAATGCAAAGTTCACAACCATAGTTCACTAATTCAAACTTTAAACACCAAAGAGACTTCTAATCCAAATTTCTAACATCCATTTTGAACTCAATCTTCAATTTCAATTGAAAATGCATCATCATCATCATCATTGTGATCGGATGCCAACAAGTCTTCACTTGTGGTTTTTTTTTAAAAAAAATCAGAGCACAAAACGACGTCGTTTTTAAAAAAAAAAAAAATTGCACGTATCGTGCGTATCGTACCGATACGTATCGTATCGTAAAAACGTATCGTGTATCGGACGATACAACGCAAAAACGATACATAACTACGATCCGTATCGTTTTAGGGCTGTATCGTAACGTATCGTACGATACGTATCGCGTATCGTACGATACTAACAACTTTGTTCTGACCCATATCAGTTTTCCTTATTTAATCGTTCTTTGAATATGATTGATTGGGTATTTGAGAACTTTTTTAAAAAATAGTAGTTTCGTAATTTGCCTTCTGGTAGTGCATTATCCAAACAGTCCCAGCGGATTTATCTGTTTCTGTTTATTTTCAAGTGCTTTTGATTAGTTTGATACTTTTGGAATACCATGTCTATTTTTGATGTGCTAATGCTTAGTGTTTTTGTCAGAGAAAGCTTTTGATGACGATGGTCACTTAAAGCAGCCGAAGCAACTATCGATCAACAAAGTTGGGCATGGTATGCACAAAATTGTTTTGGGAAAGTTTTGACTTTGCTTTCCCTGGTTAGACTTCTCTGCATATCACTCATTCACCTTGAAAAATAGCTATATAACTGTTATGCAGTTTGCAGATCAAAGTTAGAAAGTTCAATTTGGTTTAACCTGACAAAGGTGACAAATAATGAGTGGTATTTTGAGAAGTCCAAATGCTCATGCAATCCTTAGAAAATACAAATGGCGTGATCCAGCCCAACCCTAAACCAAATCCCACCCAAACCTAACCCTCTTCTTCAACTATCATTAATCTCTCATATACGCTGGATGCCCTCCTTGACTACTACTCTTTCTTACAATCAATTCTTACATTTATGCAGCCAGACACATACATTTGCAAAGGCATTTATATACACACACATTTCTGCACACACACAGTATGTCTTTTAAGGCACCATCCCACATTGGCATAAGCCAATATGGATTTAGGTTTGATCATATCGAGGATTGAAGAAAAACTATAATTTTTTTGAAGGCCTGTGGTGATTTGGGTTGAGCCAATTAATCTTTGGGCCTGATTTGATTTGGGAGGAGTTGCATGTGATTTCAGCGTAGTTGCAATACCGGTGGTAGCGACGGAGGCAGGTGGTGGGTTCATAAGTGGTGAGTTGTGAGGTAGTAGTAGTAGTGTGTATAGGGGTGGGAAGGGTGGTAGAGGTGGTTTTGTTTGTGTGTTCTCGAACTGGGATTTTGAAGGGTGGGGTTTCTTTTTTGAGGTTTTTTTTTATTGGGGGGTTGGGGGAGGGGGGGGGGGGGGGGGGAGTAAGAGTTAAGCCACTTAGTGCACACAAGATTAGGGATGTGTTCATCTCTTTGTGTGGGTGGTTGCAGATAGCAAGTCAACGATGGTGGGCGACAGATTAATGGTGGTGGGTTTGCAACGATGACCTTGGTTTGGCTGAATCAGATTGGGTTATATCCTAGTCAATCATAATTTGGGTGAGACTTGTGGTTTACGCCCAGTGTGTATCTTTTTTCGGGGTGGAAAGTGTCGAGTTAGATATGACTCAGATGAATGTTAGATAGACGGGTTGGGGATGGTAGTGGTGAGAGAGAGAGAGAAAGAGTTCAGTTTTCCTTTTACATTAACATTGTTAGTGGTGTAATTTGGGTCCACAAATCACGTGAAAGTTATGCGTCTATTTTTGAAGGTGAGGGGGTGTTGTCTATTTTTGCCTTTTAAATTATGTTTAGATTACATTGTCATCCATAGTAAACCCTTGCCTCATAAGAATTTGAACTATATGCTGCTTATAGTTTGGGTTGACTGCCAGATGCAGATTGCAAATGCTATTGTAGAAGCTTTGCTGCTATTCTTATTTTGATATTGTGTTTCATGTTGCGTTTTGTGCAGCATTACATGAGATTGACCCAGTATTTAAGCAGTTTTCTGGCTCAGAGAAAGCATTTGGCTTATTGTGCTCGTTGGGTTACAGGAGGCCAGTGGTCATTCAGTCAATGTACATATTTAAGGTACTATTCTGGTTTATTATTATCAGCTTTCCTTCCTGCATGCTTTTTGCCCTCCAGCTATGCTCACATTAAAAAAAAAAAAAACTCTCTTTATGAAGAAAAACTCTTCGCTACCTCATTATGTGTATCCTTTATATGAGTATCATGGGCATATTTGCGATGTGAGGAAACTTTATGAAGCTTGATATACTGCTGCCTGTTTTTGATTTTGAGTTAAGGTCAAATGGAAAGTTTGTAGGGTGGGGTTATAGCAGGTGAGAGAGGTTTTATAGAGTTTGTGAATTAAAAGGGGTTGAACTTGGCTTAGTATAAAGGTAGCACATTTCCGAAAAGCAGATATTCATGTGCTTATCAGTTCTGTGCAACGAGTATGTAGGATTTTGATTGCTAAAGTCTAGTCCAGAAGATAGGGAAAGAGTCGGGGTTGGCTAGACTTCTAGTGTTGAAGCTTAAGACGGGCATAACTAGGATATTTCTGAGTGGGATAATCCTAAAACTTATTGCTTTACTCTATGACTATGAAATTTTAAAGATTCGAATATAGAAATTCCAATTCTAAATGAGACCCTAAAAAATTTAACAACATGAGAAAATTCAAGTCTTTTGTATAGTGCATGTATGTGTTCTATCCCTCCTCAGAATTATCGGTCTATTCAAATCTTAATTTTTGATGCCTACATCCCAATTTCAATTTCGAAGTTAATGTTTCAATCTCCAAATTCTAAGAAAAAGGTGTGAAAATGAGGGCAGAAAGAGAGCACTTAAACTCGAGATTCAAATTGAAGAGCACGACTGACTGACAATCATTAAAACTCACCACATCATGAGTGATGGCTACAATACTTCAAGTGAATCATAAGTCTTGGGTTTTCGTCATCGTTTGATGAGTAAAGGGGAGGGGAGGGGAGGAGGATTGTGTTGGTGATTTGGCATGTCGTTGCAGAGGAAAAAGGGAGAATTGGAGGCTGAAGAGAGGCCGGAGAGAGCTTTAGATTGAGTTGTAATCCAAAAGTCTCTAATTTTATCTCTATATATTTTACTTTCTTTAATTGGGGGCAAGTTCTAAGTAAATTTAAATTTGTCAAATTTTTTGTCAAAATCCAAAACTTATTTGATACTGTAGTGGGTGCACCAGCCCAGTTGTCCATATTGATGAAGTTGAGAATATGAGAGAGATTGAAGGTAGAAGAAGGATAGAAAAATGAGACACAAAGAATAATGTGATTTGGTACATCATGCTTACATCTACGGACCAAACGTCCTAGGGGCTGCATTGATGTATTATTAATGGTAATTGTATACATAGGGCTCAACCCTATTTATAGGGTGATAAATAAACAAGATAAACATAATCGCTCTAGCCTATTATCATCTTATCCCAATTGTGGATATTGATGGATTTAAAAGAATCTTATCATATCTCTAATACTTCTGGTCAAGTTGGTACATTGAGAAGGTGAAGTGTCTAACTTGAACTGAAACATGGGGTGGTAGTCTACATGACAAGGCTTCAATTTCACATGATGCATAATCTTGTGACTTTTCTCAATTGGACTACCCTATGCTTACAAGTCTTTTCCAGAAGTAATATGTACTAATTTCATTTTTCAGCAACCAGGAATTGGGGAAGAAGTAGTACCCCACCAGGATAATTCGTTTCTTATACTGAACCACCAACTTGCACTGGACTGTGGCTGGCTTTAGGGGATGCAACCATTATATTGGTTGCCTATGGGCTATTCCTGGCTCACAAAAAAGTAGATCTCTTTCTATATCTGGCTTGTTTTTCTTTCTTCTTTGCAAGCTTCTAAGAACCTGTCAATTCTGTTTTTTGTTATCTTAGATGGCCTTGTGAGAAGATTCATTAGAGATGACAAAGGGGTTCACTTTGATCAACCATCCCCATCCTATGACCAAAAAGATTTTGTTCCTATTGAAGTCAAAGCTGGCTCCTTGGTTGTCATTCATGGCGATCTTATTCATCAGAGGTCACTTACTTGAAGATATTTAATCCTCTTAGATAGCATTGAAGTTCATCATGTGTATTTTGTGTTCTTAATCATGGTTCTTTTTATGTGTTTTGCTGCAGTTTTGAGAACAAGTCCTCAAAATCAAGGCATGCATATAGCTTGCATGTGGTGGACACTGATGGCTGCATATGGGCACAGGAAAATTAGTGAGTAGATGGATGATTTTCCATGTTTTGTTTCGTTGTTTTTTATCAGTTAGATTTCTACCAGCATGCAAAGTCATTAGAGTTGCCTCAGCCAAATTTCCTGAAAGCCACGTATTACATTTGAGTCTTCGACTGGTAAAAAGACACTAAGATTCCATAGTCAGTTTGGAAGGTTGGGAAAATATATAATGAAAGTGATTTAAAAAAACCTCAATAATTTATGAGGGGTTTAAAATGTAATGTAGTGTGTTTTTCACTCTCTTTTTTTTTTTGGTCATTTTTTCATACAGGGAAATAAATATCAAAGTGCTTTAAGTGCTCTATGATTTCTTTTGGATTTTTTTTTATAAATTATCATATTGCTTTCTGAAATATGAGTTGTGTAGGATTGATGACTCTGACTTGAGCTTTTTTTATAACCTTTTAATAATAGGTAGACTCATTACAAGTTTTCCCTCTGTGCTCATCTACTCATTCTTTGTTAGACATGTTTTTTTCTCTATACTAACTTGCAAGGACAACTGTGTATTATGTTTCCAGCTTGATTAGAACAGAAATGGTTTCTCACTTTGTCCAAACTAGCGATTTCACAATTGAAAGCATAAAACTTATTTTTTCAATGGTAATGGAAAGCTGATGGAAGGGCAACTGTATTCCAAAGGATGAAGTCCTTTCAAATTTGAGGATTTGTTTTCATCTCTTCCCTCTTTAAGTATCGGAAGCATGAAACTCTGTGTGCATGCACCTTTGATAAGTAGGCAAATTAGTTAGATTGCAATGGTGGCATTACTATGTACAAGAGTAATTAAGAGTGAGAAACTTATACAAAAGAAAAGTAAAAAATTTTCTTTTATACATGTCAAATCAATTAGATTGCAATGCTGTGTATATCAAACTCTTCTCAGACTCAGCAGTGATGGGAGTGAATATATCCGTGAAAGTGTAGGTAACACATATAGGAGATAAATTGAGAGAAATCAACTTAGGTGGTTTGAACATATCTATAAACGATCTACTACGGCACGGAGTGATATGATAACTATTGACGGTAAGCATAGAGGTAGAGAAGGATATAAAAATAATTTTAAATGAAATAGTTAAGAAAGATATTTATTTCTTATTGTTTAACAGAAAACATAACCCTTAATCGAGGACAATGACGAAGCAAGATTCATGTGGCTGCCCTAAAAATGTTGGGACAAAACTTTGTTGAGTTGAGTTGAGTTTTTAATATTCATTATTGGCTTTTGAGAATGGTTCTGACCGACTCATTATTTGTACACAATCATGTCTGCAATGTACCCTTAACTATCAATATTTCTTTTTAAAGTGAAAAAGTTGAAAGATGAAAAACTTTGTAGTAAAAACCGAGTTCAAGTCAACTTTAAACTTATGTACACATTGTTGATTATGATCATTGACCTTCGTGGATCTTTAGTTATTTGTGATACTGACTGTTGTTTTTGCCAAATCTTCTTTCAGGATCAAAAGAAAAGTGGATCCAGAGCCCCTCTTTGTTTCTTGATCTAGCCTTTCAGGCCATCAATATTCACTTAAAAAGTGCTCCCACCTGCATATCAAACATAAATAGTTATGTTCTGTTGCATCCTTTCAGGGTACTTGTATAGTATAATTTTTCTTTCTATGAAAATAAAGAAAACATTTGGCATCAGGCCTTGTGCATTGAGCTGCCTTTTACATACGGATTCGGGTGGTTTTCTAATGTAACATTCCTCAATTCTATACTTGCCAGCACTTCTAGCTTCTTTGCACTTCTTGTTTTGTTTAAACATTTTCTTTTAGCGCATCGATTTTCTTGATCCGGATCGGAATGGTGAAGCATCTATATAAACTTGGTGTTCTTTTTTTATTTATGCAGCTTGTTGATTAAGCCAAAAAAAAATTATTTGTGAAGGACTACTTTGAAATCTCATAATATGTATACTGCATGTTGTGGAAAACTTTGTTCTGTGCAAATGAATTTCCTTCTCTACTAACTCCCTTCAGCCCAGCTAGTTAGGTTTAAGCTATCAACTGTCAAGTATCTCATCTTTTGGCGGTAAGATTCTCTTTTTGTAAAAGAGCAATATTTATTAACTAATCGTTTGTAACTATTGGATTGATAGCGGGTTTTAGGATTTGTTGAAATCTACTATCAATTGAATAATTGTGATGAATTAGGTTAGAAAAATTATATCAAAAAAAATTAAGTCTAAATAATATTATTTTTTGGGTCAATTATAAAATGTCTCCTCTAACTTTGGATGATATTACAATCAACTCCCTCTAGTTTGAATTTCAACAAATGATCTCCTCAAAAGTTATAATATTTTTCAATTAACCCAAGTTGTTAACTTTGGCAATGAAAATGACAAAAGTTAGTCATGTGCAAATCACATGATCTCATATTTAATGAAAATAAAAAATTATTCATAATTAATAAAAATTCCTCATGTATAAATAATTGCATTTTCCAATCCAGACGCCAGACCTCCTTCTCTTTTCCTTTTCAACAAACCCCCTGCTTCACGGTCGACGAAAACCCCTCTTTCCAATGGCTGCATCTAGTTTTTTCATCAATAACTCCTAAACATCACCCTTGCGACAGACAATATCTATGTTTTTCAAAAATATTTATTTTTTAAAATCTTTTTTAGGATGTCAAATTTATTTAATATTTTTATTTCAGATCACGTGACTTGCACATGATTAATTTTTGTCATTTTTCTGGCTTAGGTTAATTGAAGTATATTCAAACTTTTAGGTGATAATTTGTTGAAATTAAAATCAGAGGGAGTTGAGTTGATCGCTCATGATCTAAAGTTGGAGGAAATATATACAGTTCTCTTATTATATCTATCTATATTTTATACTATAGATTGTAAGAATCAATTTAGGAGAGAGTCATTAAGAAACTTTTCCTTCTAAAATTTTTTTTTTCCTAATTTTTAAATATTTAATTGAAATGAGTTGGCCTACTCCAATTGATTTTTTTTTGGCTACAACATGCCGATGTCCATGTGACAACTTTTTACTTTGTAGGTCACAAAAAATTAATTTTTTTATTTATTGTGTGGTAAAGGTATGGTACCGGGAGTTGTCTACTGTATCCATTTTTTTTTTTTTGGTATCATACTAATATTTATTATTTTTATGAATATTTTTACAACTATTGTGACACTAAAAAAAAATGGTAAAAATAGTTATCAAAGTAGTGATAAAAAAACCCACAACAGTGATAAAAACACATACTAGAGTGGTAAATCACCCAAAAAAAGGTAATTTTTTTTGTTCTTAGAGAAATGATAAAAATAGTTAGTATAATAGTGATAAAAATATATTTATCCAAAAAAAAATGAGATAAAAATATTCTCAAAAATGATAATTTATTTTTTTAATTTAGCTCGGACTCAAAAGGGGCCAACTGGCCAAGTAAGAGAATTCTTCAATAATAACTAGAGCAATGCTATTGGGATCTAATTTATTAATATAATTTATTGACCTAATTTGAATTCACTATAGACTTCATTCAACATTAAAATTTAGTATTGATCCAATAATTCATATAAAATCACATCATTATATCAACAACTTAGATCAAATTTTTAGGTAATAACTGTCCAAGCTAGCCAATGCCTACCAAACCTAAAGATGAAGGAAATGTAGGCAAACACAGACAATTGGCTACCAAACCTAAGATGTGATGATGGTTCAATTCCCATCCCTGTGGTTTTGAATTCCTACACCTAGCTTATAGTCCCCACAGACAAACACTCAAAATAGAGGGAGTTACGGGGTACCCTTTGTCTTGCTTATTGCACTTAATTCAGCCAATAGGTGGCTCCCACAAAAAATTACGGTTTACGTTGCATTTGATATTCATACTTAACTTGATGATTAATTTTAATATCAATTATTATGAACTCATGAGTAGAACTTATCCCTGAAAACTTGCTTATAAATAAAAGGTACCCTAAAAATCATAAGGTGTCCAAGAATTCAAACATTTACATCTAATCTTTAACCAATGCGAAATTGTAACAGATTTTTATAGATAACCACAAATTTAATATATCTTAATTGAGTCATATCTTCGCTGCATAGTAACTTGTTCAATTATTTATTTATTTATTTTTGGGGATCTTTATGGTAGATTGTTTCCATTCACTTCTTGGTTCTTTGGAGCGTGGTGGTGTTCTGCATCTTATTGGTTCTTTGGAGAGTTTACTAAACTTTTGGGTGTAATTGTGTTTTGAGTCTGCTTATTATTTTTTAGACTCACTATTCACATTTTTTTAAGGTGGATCTTATCACTTTTTAGGGTAAAATTTAGTTTACCTTTTTTTTTTATTGAACATATTTACTGGACAGCCTCTTTTCGATTCTTTATTTGAAGCAAATAATTTTTCCTTTACTTCCATTAAGATTACTTGTAATTGTTGTATTGAGTTTTTTTTTTTTTTTTTTTTTTTAAGATTATAGGATGTTTAATCTTGTATCGATTACACCCTAAAATTTAGATATTGGTCACTGAGCCTTAATGAGTTTGAAACATGTTCCCTAAGAAATAAGGATGACTAACCTTTAAAAAATATAAAAAAACGTTGAACTTGATCTTTAACTGTTTATTCGTTTTAACGATTAGTAACAATTCATTAAAAAAAATAACAAAATAATGCAAACTAATAAAATAAATAACTTTTTGCGTGTAATATTTTTAGTGGATAAAAATATAGAACGACGATACTGGTAAGTATCCGACCAAAACAACACATTTTTTATACGAGGTTAGCAATTGACTTAATGGTTGCGAATTCGAACTTCGTCGTCCCCTACTTCCCTTTCTATGCAATAGTGTCCCACCAAAAAATAAAAACCATGTTTTTATGCAAGTAACAATAACGTCACAAATAATTAAGTTAAAATTTACAATAGATTAAGAACGTGGTAGTTAAAAATGAGCATAACATCCGGATCAAAATCTCATCAAATACATAATTTTTTTGTTTTTCTCATCAAATCATCTATTATTTATTAGTGACAGTGAGAGATCTATATACATTGAGTTGAACTTGAATTAATGATAGGTGATTTAACTAGAATGAAAGAAAATAAAATATATATATATATACTAGAGTGGGTCCCGGTCCATAAGATTCTAACCATATGTCATTATCCAGTCGTTTCATTACTTGTAAATAATAGAAAGTTCCAATTTCCACCAAGAGACAAAAGCAAAACGATATTTTTGCTGTTTTTATCATCACAGCCATGCATGAAGCAACACACTTCTTCTTTTCAACCACAAAGCTAGCAATATGCTCTTTTTTTTTTTTTGAATAACACTATTTGACATAAAAATTTGATCTAATTTGCTGACATAATATGTGGCTTCGTGGAAATTATTGGATCAACACCAAATTCTAATATTTGGTGGAAGAAATGTTACAATGAATTAGGTCAACAAATTATGTTAGTAAATTAAATCCCAATAGCATTGCTCTTTTTTTTTTTTCCCATCAATTCTTCACAGTAACTCAAAAAACTTGTTTGGCTTGAAGTGTGTTCCAGTGGCTATGGTAGCAGTAATGGGTTCTTCAACAATATCATTTTTGTCACCCTTAAGGGCACCACAATCATCATCACTTTTCATTGGAAAGAGCTGACGTGTTTGAAACCCTCTAGTTTCATCATCTTCAACCATTGTCATATCTTCTAATAGGCGTAGATTTTGAGTGCTTCTCAGCTTTGGGTCTGTTGTTACCAGATCTTCTTGTTCAGTTGTGGTTATGTCCTTCATGATGAGTTTGGTGGTGGGGGACATAGACATAGACATAGACATAGACATAGAGCTTGAGTTTGTCATCTGCCGCATTGCATTCTTTGATGCAGTAATTGCATTCAGTTGCATTCTGCTGCAATTCTCTCTCCTCAATTTTAAGCCACCCATCTGGTCTACTTTCAGCTACCACTGCTCTGTGTATTGATTCAGAGTCCTAAAGACAACAAAATAATTAAAGCGAACTATGTTTCACGCAACTGTCCAAAAAAAACTACCCTTTTTTGCAAATAATAGTCTCCAGGCCCCCAACAGAATGTAAGGAATGCAGCTTTTCTACCCCTTATGCTTTTCCATTTTACACAATAAAATGTTATTTAAATTTAATTTATTAATCTAATAAATCATAATTTTGAATTTGTAGTGAGTTATTTCATACTCGACCTTGTAATAGCGAGAGAGGTGTCAGATTCCATGTTGGTTGGGTGGTGCAAGTGTCGTACGGGTTCATAAGACTTTAGGCGTGCGATTGTCTATATCAAGGTTGGCCCGAGCCAATTGGGTGAGAAAGAATGTTACGTATTCCGTTTCGATTGGTTAGGGATATTGAGTAGATATCTCTGATTAACTAAGTTTAAAGGTGTTACAACATGAACAAGCACAAAATAAATATAATTTTTAGGGGTGGTCTAGTAATTAGGCATATCCTTTAATAATCAGAGGTCTCAAGTTTAATCATTTCTCATATCCCTCAATGGTTAGTCACCATTGTCTCTTCGGGGACATATTTTAACCCAACTCAAGTTATGATACAGTAGCTAGTTGTTGAGTTCAAATGAGTAATGAGAAAAAAAAACACCAGATAAATGTAACAGTATTGAAACCTCTGAAATTGTACTGCAATTTGAAGGGGTTGCCCAGTTCTTCTGTCCAACTTCAAACCCTGCAGACAAAAAGAAAGAAAAAACAAAAGGAATTCAACTTTAAGTTGGTGCCGATATATAAATAGCAATAATGGTGAGAATTTTGGGCATTAATCATATGTATGTTGTTACCTGATTCTTTTCTCGGTAGGTTTTCAATCTTATGTGGTTGTTGTTTTGAAAATACCTCTAGTATACGACGTCGTTTTTGCCTTTCTCTTGCTTTGTGGTTCTGAAACCAGTAGAATACATTCTTCCCTTGGATTTGATCAGCCGTGGGTGTGTTCTTATTCCACTTCTATACATCTCTTCTAGGGTTTGTAACTGCTCTGGAGTTGGGTTCCACCTTGAACTCACTGAGGGTTCTGTGGGTATCTCTTTCTTACTCTGCTCAGTTGCTGCAACTATAGCGAGAACAAACTCTCATCACGGGTTCAAAAGATACATGGTTGAAACGATTTTTCGAGAAAAAAAGAAAAAAGTAAGAGAAAAATGGCGACATACCATTATGGTGATTCCATGCAAAAATATCAGCACTGTGAATTCGATCACAGTAAGGAGTTGGTTTTGTAGAATACGAAGTACTTTTGGTATTGTTAGGAGTAGGCCTGGGCATGAGAGGGCCGAAGTTTTCGACTCTTTGGTGAATGAGACATCTTAAACTCTTCAGCATCGCAGCCCACCATCCACATTGTAGACTAGTAATGGCCAATACCCTGTGCGTGTGTGTGTGTGTGAGAGAGAGAGAGATGTGTCCTGAATTCCGAGGTAAGAGAATGGTACTTACAGTCGTTGAAATGAGAGAAGAACCAGATAGTAATGCACTCAAATAAACCAGGTTATAAATTTATGCACGGTTTCGGATGGTAATTGTGCGTGCACGATCTTGCATAATATAAACGATAACAGATCTCTTTCGTGGTAAACACGAGTCCGTCAATTGAGTGGTCAATCTTGTTACTTGGAACAGGTTGTGAGGACTAAGAGTGACAAATGAAGTGATGAAGGATTGTTTCTAGAAGTCGCCTAAGCTGCGAAACCCGGGAAAAATTTTAATTTTTTCTTAAAAAATGGAAAAATGGTAATTTATCATTATAGTGCAGGTTAAAAATTGATATTTTTCTAGACCTCGGATGATGAAACGGACCTCACCGTTGGATTCGTCTCTCGAAATCTACTTATCTAGACAAATTTTGTCGAATTTTGAGATAGTCGAATTTTTCACGTTTTTTGAAGTGACGGGTGTCTGGTGACCCCTAAAAACGAAATTTTTATAAAAATTTTAAAAGTTGAAAAATATTTTAAATAAAGTTCATATAAAATATTTTGAGTTTAAATCGGTACGAAATTTAATCGTTTCGAAGGGAAAAACAGACCCGAACAAAAGAGGATACTTGGTGCGACGAGGGTCAAGTCTTTAAAAGTATAAAAGAGACAAATATCTGAAAATTCAGCTATTTCCTACCCATTTGTTGGCTGGTTTTAGACGTTGGAAGAGAGAAGAGAGAAAAAGAGTTTTCAAGTTTTTCTTCTGTCGATCCGCTAGGCTACGTCGGTCGGAATCGCTTGAACCAAGAATTAAAATTGGTCTACGCGACGAGGGCTATGCGTGGGTACCAAAAATGAAGGATTTCATCGAAGGTCTAAAGGGAGATTTTGAGAAAATTAAGTCTTGGTGAGTATTTTCTTGAGCTCAAACCGAAAGGAAGAAGAAGAAATGGTGCTGTTAATCCTAGACAGTAGATGAGTTTCTTATTCATTTCATAAGCTACGATTATTTAATAATTCTGGAATTTTGAGGTTATAATGTAGACTGAAAAAGGATTCGTTTGGTTTTGGTTTCAAGTAAAATGGAGATAAATATGAGTTTTGGTGATTTTTGAAAGTTAGCCCCAGGCTATAGAAACTGATATGAAAAATCTGGACATCATGTAGTTTCGTAATTGCTTTTATGAGTTAGAGTTTGTTTTTGAATCTTAAACTTTGAGGGTTTGAAATAAATTCACAAAGGGTTATTTTGGCTTTGGTCTCATGCCAAAAAGAAGAAAACTCAATTTTTGGTGAGTTTCTAAAAATGATTATGACCTGCTGGAACCTGAAAATTCTGTAACTTACACTTAGTTTAAGAGTTACCTGGAACAGGTATTTAGTGTTCAAAAATAGTGATTTTTGGTGAAAGATAATTCCTATGAGTATATGTTCATCTCCCATATATTTTGTTAGAATTGAATTTTAATAACTAGAGTTAGAGTTGTTTTAATTCATGTAGGTTACCTACAAAATGTTAAAAAATGCTAAATGTCTACGCTTAGTTGGAAAAGAACCCTACATGTGACATTAAAACTGAACAAGAGAGGAAGTGTTCTTGAGACTTTCTACACTCATTTTGCACTTCTATTAAGGCATGGATTCTCCTACTTTGGTTCATTCATATTTAAAATGTTATATATATTGTGTAGGATTTCATCTATTTGGATTGATTCTTAATCTAGAATGCCCATATGAAATGGTTAGTGGTATAAAATATTTTATAACTTGCCTATAGTCATGGAAATGGTGAATTAAGTATGGACAAAATTCTAGTTAAATTTATTATGTAGAAGTTCTGTAAATAATTCCTTGATATTTGATGTGTGTGGGGGCAATATTGTATACTTACATGATTGTTGCCTAGAAGGTTTTTGCTAAAATGCCTAAGTGTGAATTAAGGTTGTTATGACATGACAATGTATAACATGCTTATAGAATGTGTTGTTTATATATATTGACATTGTAATGATTCATGAAATTTATATGCTTATGATAAGAATTACCATGATATTGTCTATATATGTAGTTGATCTAGCTCATTGGGCAACATTGCACATTGGGCATGACATAGCATCACATTCAAGGGCTACATGCATGAGTATGAGTTTATGGTTGCAAGGGGTGATCAACACCAACAATGGTACTTGATGGTAGGCTCAGGAAAGTGGGATGGAACGTCCTACGGAGTCGCACGGTTACATATATAAAAACATTTATGTCGGGTATAGCAAGTAGGGCTAGACACTCTCTCGGGTGAAAAACCCGGCTATTTGGTTCATACACTTACCGGCGGTAAAATTTCAGAAAAGTGTAACGGCATACGGAACCGGAGGTGCGATTCCTAAATCCAATACCCCATAAAGGCACATGATTTTGATATATAAATTATTCATTTGATGACAAGCATCCAAGAATGAATTGATTTTATGACATATGGTTGATTTCAAAATGATATTTGGATGTGTTTCATCAAAGACGTTTGTTTTACACATATGAGTCGCATTGTGTTGTGAGAGTCGGTGTGGGCTCGGGATAACATGCATGAGTGAGTTTCATCTCATTACTTGGTATGACATCATGAGATTCTATTTTGAATAACATATTCTTATTTGGAAGAAGTTGTTTGTTGCATGTGCGTATTGCATACACAATTTAGGTGGGAAGTAGCATCTGTAGGAGTTTTTCTACTGAGCGTTGGCTCACCCTATATAGGAAACATTTCAGGTGGGAGAGATACACCAGTGGATGACTCAAATTTGGTTTGACTTTTTTCAAACAAGTGGGTCCAAATTTGAGCCATCCACCGGTGTACCTCTCTCACCTGAAATGTTTCCCATATAGGGTGAGCCAACGCTCAATAGAAAAACTCCTACAGAGGCTACTGCCCACCTAAAATGCGTATGCAACACGCACATGCCATAAACAAATTTTTCTAAATAAGAATATGTTATTCAAGATAGAATCTCATGATGTCATGCCAAGTAATGAGATGAAACTCACTCATGCATGCTATCCCGAGCCCACACCGACTCCCACAACACAATGCGACTCATATGTGTAAAACAAACGTCTTTGATGAAACACATCCAAAGATCATTTTGAAATGAACCATATGTCATAAAACCAATTCATTCTTGGATGCTTCCCATCAAATGAATAATTTATATATCAAAATCATGTGCCTTTATGGAGTATCGGATTCAAGAATCGCACCTCCGGCTCCGTACACCGTTACACTTTTCTGGAATTTCACCGCCGATAAGTGTATGAACCAAGTAGCCGGGTTTTTCACCCGAGAGAGTGTCTAGCCCTACTTGCTATACCCGACACAAATTTTCTTATGCATGTAACCGTGCGACTCCGTAGGACGTTCCATCCCACTTTCCCGAGCCCACCATCAAGCACCAATGTTGGTGTTGATCACCCCATGCAACCATACACCCACACTAATGTATGTAGCCCTTGAATGTGATGCTATGTCATGCCCAATGTGCAATGATGCCCAATGAACTAGATCAACTACATATATAGACAATCCCATGGTAATTCATATCATAAGCATATAAATTTCATGAATCATTACAATGTCAATATATATATACAACACATTCTATAAACATGTTATACATTGTCATGTCATAACAACCTTAATTCACACTTAGACATTTTAGCAAACACCTTCTAGGCAACAATCATGTAAACATACAATATTGCCCCCACACACATCAAATATCATCAAGTATCAAGGAATTATTTACTGAACTCCTACATAACAAATTTAACTAGAACTTTGCCCATACTTAATTTATCATTTTCATGACTATAGGCAAGTTATAAAACATTTTATACCACTAACCATTTCATATGGGCATTCTAGATTAAGAATCGATCCAAATAAAAGAAATCCTACACAATACATATAACATTTTAAATAGGAATGAACCAAAGTAGGAGAATCCCTACCTTAATAGAAGTGCAAAATGAGTGTAGAAAGCCTCAAGAACACTTCCTCTCTTGTTTAGTTTTAATGTCACATGTAGGGTTCTTTTCCAACTAAGCGTAGACATTTAGCATTTTTGAACATTCTGTAGGTAACCTACATGAGTTAAAACAACTCTAACTCTAGTTATTAAAATCCAATTCTAACAAAAATATGTGGGAGATGAACATAGACTCATAGGAATTATCTATCACCAAAAATCACTATTTT